GAATTCAGAAAGGAGGGCAGTTGGCAAGGTTTAAGTTGCCCTGAAAGGGGCCAGGACACTCCATCGCTGCCGCCAGGTCTGTTCTGTCGGCTCTGCCCAGGGCAGGGCACTCAGAGAATAGTTAGGTATGCTCTCTCTGGGACAGGAAAGGAACAATGAACTGCAGGAAAGACCCTTTCACCAGAGCCAAGATTCTGTGGACATGCTGCAGTGTCCTTGGCCACCGGTGGGGACTGAGGAAACTGTCCCTACAGCTTGGCCTCTTCATCTGTCCAGTGGAGACAAGCACCTTCCTCGAGGCTTGCAACAGCTTGAAGGATATTTTAAAATGTAAAGTAAGTCATCTGTGGCAGTGCCACCTGTAAATCCCAGCAAGGCGACTGCAATGAGTTTGAAGCCGGACTGGGCTAGAGAGGGACACCTTGTCTAAAATCAAAACCCGGTGGTGCTCAAAAATATAGCAAAGCAGGCAGTGGTGGCCCACACCTTTAATCCCAGCACCTAGGAGTCAGAAGCAGCAAGATTGAAAACCCTTCCCCCCCCAAAAAAAAATAAGGAAAGAAAGAAAGAAAGAAAGAAAGAAAGAAAGAAAGAAAGAAAGAAAGAAAGAAAGAAGAAAAAAGCAAAAGACATGTGACAAATTTGGGGACAGTTGTCAACACCTAAGGAATCAGGATGCCCTTGAGATTCATTATTTACCTGCTCATCAAAAAGCTCCACTCTGCTCTTTTTTGTTTGGTTTGGTTTGAGACAGGGTTTCTCTGTGTAGCCCTGGCTGTCCTGGGACTAGCTTTGTAGACCAGGCTGGCCCCGAACTCACAGAGATCCTCCTGCCTCTGCCTCCCTAGTGCTGGGATTAAGAGCATGTGCCACCACTGCCTGGCAATATCCTTTTCTTAAATAAACCTTATGACCCCCACAAGGACACAGCATCCTCTCCATTATGCAAATGGGGAAACTAAGGCTTAGCCAAGGGAAATCACAGGACAAGACCTCATGGCTATGCAGGACACTTTGTGGCCTTCCTGCACAAAGCTGCTCCCATGAATATGTGTGGCAACCCCCTCCTCACAGGGAAAGGGAACTCTAAAGGACCCAGTGCTCAGGCTGGTTGGGAAAGTACCTGGCTTCCTTCCTCCCAGTGACTGGCAGACACAGCAGGCATCATTAAGCCTCAACTCCCCCAGGCAGGCAGAGCTTCTCCTGAGAGCCCAGGCTTCGGACAACACTTACTTTGTCTGAGAGCAGAAGCCTCTTCCTTGTTTTTCAGTGTTAGGGATGAGTCTCACACATGCTAGGAAGCTCTTTACCACTGAGCCACGTTTCCAGCCAAGAAAGAATCTTTGAGTGCATGTGAGGTAAGGTATTAGGAGGTACATGTGTACGCACGGTATGCATATGTGAAGACCAGAGGTTGCTCTCTACTCTAAGGTTTTGTCTTGTTTGTTTAGATGGTCTCTTTATGTAGCCCTGGAATTTTATTTGTAGAGCAGACTGGCCTTGAACTCAGAGAGATCCTCCTGCCTCTGCCTCTGGAGTACTGGGATCATAGCTGGGTAGTGGTGGCGCAGGCCTTTAATCCCAGCACTTGAGGGGCAGAGGCAAATGGGTCTCTGTGAGTTCAAGGCCAGCCTGGTCTACAAAGCAAGTTCCAGGACATCTAGGAATGTTACACAGAGAAACCCTGTTTTGAAAAATATAAAAAAGAAAAAGAAAGCCACATACCACCACACCTGGCTCCGCTTTTTTTTTTTTTTCTAGACAGGGTTTCTGTGTGTAGCCTCAGCTGTCCTGGAACTAACTCTGTAGACCAGGCTGGCTTTGAACTCACAGAGATCTGTCTGTCTCAGACTCCCAAGTGCTGGGATAAAAGGTAAGCATCACCACCGCCTGGCTTTCTACTTTGAGACAGCCTCTTACTGCGTCTAGAGTCCAGTGATTGGCTCTAGATTGCCTGGCTACCATGACTTCAGGGCCCTCCTGTGTCCCCCTCCCAGGGATGGGGTCATAGATGTGCCTGTCCAGCTGGGGATGAGAACGCAGGCCCTCAGACCCAAGCAGCAAGCACTTTACCCCTGGAGCCATCTCTCCAGCCCCAGAAGAATCTTCAGGCCAACTTCTGACCATGGATGGAGTAGGAACAGGAAAGCCAGCTTTAATTTATTGGAACAGACTATGGTTCAGAGTTGCAGGGAAGGGTGTGGCCATCTGAGAGACACAGAAAAGAACTCAGCTGTGGCCCTAAACAAAGAGCTTTACTGGGGCTCCCGCATGGTGGTTTTCTCTAAATCACTTTAAATCCCAGTAAAAATATTAACAGATTTTTTTTTGTGTTTTGTTGTAAGGCATAAGATTAGTTAAATGAAAGATTGGGGACTGGGGATGTGTGGCTCAGGGCAGAGGGCTTGCCTAGCATGTACCAGGCCATGGCCTTGCTTCTCATACAAAGTTTGGGGTAACATGTAGCACAATGAATACGGAAGCTCAGAGGAAGGGGATTTGGGGATCAGCCTGAATGACCGTCAGTTAAATGGGGAGTAATAAATTGTTAACGAGCCAACACCAAACTGTGTAATGGCATTCTATGCACGTACGTTCGGATGTGTGCCCGTGCATGGGCCTGGGGAGGCCAGGGGTCTCGCTCGGATGCTCTCCTCCACTGTTTTCCACCTTGTGTTTTTGAGTCAGGGTCTTACTCTGACCCTGGAGCTTGCCAATTCTCTACGCTGATACGTGCCAACACACCTGGCTCTTATGTGGGTGCCGAGGATCCGATCCCAGGCCCTCACGCTTACGCAGTGGCACTTTTACCAGCTGAGCCATCTCCTGGACTCTGCAACGGTTTTGAAATTTTTAAGGAAGTTATATATTTACACAGAACGAATTCCAAGGTACAGTGGAAAAAAACAGATATAAAAGTGAGTATGTAATAAGTCACTATATTCATTAAAGCCATGGAAAAAAACAAAACGACGCTGAAAACCATTGTTTCCTATGTCAGCTATCTGCTGCTGCTGTGGGAGGAAAGTTCCCCCTTAAGCATAAGTGATTGAAATAATTTTTCCATTTGCATGTGCCAGGAATCCAAACACAGCCCGGCTGGCATCTTTAGCTTTAGCTCAGGTCCTTATGCAGTCAGGCTGTGGACCCATCTGAAGGGTCAGCCAGTGCAGGGTGGGTATTGTCCAGCACAGACCTCTCGCCTGTCTCTCTCCAGGGTGCCCTCACGGAGTCTCAGATGACATCCCAAAAGGTGGGAGATTCAAGACAGAGCAAGGGGCAGCAGCCAAGACAGAAGCAGTGCTCTTTCTGACGCATCCCCAGAAGTGACATTCCTGGTCTGCTCATGAGCAGCTGAACCACACAGCGGCTGCATCACAGGTCAAGGAGTACACAAGGCCATGAATATTAGAGATGGGGTCACCAGGGACCACCTCGGAAACCACCCACCATTCCAGAGACACCAGAAGCACTTAGCATGGGCTGTCTGCAATGAAGAGAAGTGGGCAGAAGAGGAACACTTTTTCACTGAATATACGTGTGTACGTTTTACACCTTAGGTGATGTGTACCTTAGTCAACAGGTACATCACATTTACTTTAGATTTAAAATCTAAAATGATAATGAAAAGGTTGGCATTATAGGGGCTAGAGAGAGGTCTTAGTGGTTTAGAGCATTTGCTGTTCTAGCAGAGGACTCAAGGTCAGTTCCCAGCACCCACATGGCAACTCATAACCATCCATAACCCTAGTTCTTTTACTTTTGTTTGTTGTTGGTGTTTTTTTTTTTTTTTTTTTTTTTTTTTTTTTTTTTTTTTTTT